GTATTTATCTAAAAATTTATTAGTATTTTAACCTCAACTATTTAGTTACTGAAAATGTTACTAAAAATCAGGAAAACAACATAAATTTTATAAGGGTCCTAGATAATACCAACAGAAACCCTAAAAAATTTACATTGACAAGTCTTATAGAAAAAAAACGAACTATACTATTATTATTGTTTTATTTGAAATTTTTAAACGTCGAGCGAACGAGCGTAAATGCGATAGAACTTTATTTAAAAATTAATTTGCAAAACAATAAGTAAAAAAAACACTGACATTTAAACGTCAAAAATATTTTTGACAAAGATTACAGAGCCTACTAAGATTTTTTTATTAAAAATTCATTCCAACTTTTGATCGACAACCCCGATGTTTAACGTGCAGTATTTGCTTTATTATTGTTTTTCTCAAAAATTAGTCGTTTTTGGAAAAATTTTAGAGAGACAAAAAAGTTTTAGGATACTTTCATCTACCTAGGTAAAATTTTTTTAATGTATTTATCATCTGCATAAAAAAAATATTAGCAAAAATGTAAAGGGGGTGGTCACGTTTAGTAATTTAGAAGGGTAGGTTGAAAGTACAAATAGGATCAGAACGTGCCCTATTATAAGTTAAACATATTCCCCAAATTTCATTTTCCATAAACGCTATGGTTTTTGAGAAAAAGAAATTAAACCAAAATTTTCCGCCATTTTTGGAGGGGTGTAGCTCCTTAGGGGAGCCGAAGTCGCCCATGGTTCATATATCAAAGTACCCTTAAAATTCACTAAAGAATCACCTCTTGAAGTTTGTTGCAGTCATTCAGATACACCCTGTATATTTTAACTCGTGATTTCTATTTTCACTGTAATAAATGTAAAAAAGTTTTCCTCTAATTTTTTTTTTTCAACAAGCTTAAAGTTCAATGATTAAAGAGTTAAAAAGCATTGTTATTATGTTATTATTTCTAGTAGAATAAATTCGATTTTAAACAATAGCATAATTTAGTTTACGTCTATTTCGGGTTTGATTCAGTTTTCATTTCGTTTTGTTACCCACGGTAGATGAAAATCAAAAGCGCAAATCGGATTTAAACGAATTTACGGCCTGCACGACCAACATGTAATTGCGTTTGTCACATGTCCCCAATATAATCCAGTCAAATGACAATGCTCTCTTTACGTGCCGTTCACTCCCACCATTTCACCAAATTCAAATATGTAATTCATTATGTTAAAACACGCGATAAAAAGGTTCTCACTTTTGATGTAAATTAAAATTTATTTTCTCAGCATCACCACATATAGTAGTTGTTCAAAAATTGGGGATTTCTTTTTCACAAAAGCTGAGTTTTTAAAGAAAAACAGTCTATCTTTTTCTTTAAGCGTGTCCCTTTGGACGTGTTTGTTCGTTCGAAAAAGTTTTACTACAACCTGATGCTGGTGCTACGTATTCTCTTATTCACTCGTTCTCGTTCTATCTCGCGCGATCGATCCCCAAGAGTTGGTGTCCCCCTCAAATAATAAAAGGAGAGTTCACACGCTTCAGCTTCTCTTAGCCAACGCGCAAAACTCTTAAAACACTCACACTTTGCGACATCTTCGCCTGGAGAACGTCATCTTTAAGTCCGCAAATCCGCAATATAATTTTCTCCTAATTTCACTGCTATTATATGGTAATAACCATAAAAATAAACTTGGAGTGTTTGTTTATTTTGTATAAAAATTCTATTTGATATTCGGAACGATACATCAATCTATGTTGGGAGTGAGTTGATTGCGTTGAACGTTGGAGTTGCAACGATCAAGCGTGTTAAACTTTCAAAAGCGAATGTTTTGCTGAATTTCTACACAATTGGTTTGAAACTTTGCGTACTATTCTATACGTTCGTTTATCTGCATTGAAAGTTAAAATGGCTAAAAAAAGTTTGGAATGTTAGTTTGAGATAGTACTAAAGTGGTTTATATAAATAAAATCATTAGTTTACATTTACTTCTTTTGTGTGGTACTAAACAAATAATCATAAAAACAGTTTTATACGAAAAATTTAACTTATTACAATGAGTTAGGAGTTAACATTAAAGTTGCGGTTTGAAGGACCCAACCCGTTGAACAGTGTGATTCTTAGTGCCACCCCTCAACCCGAGGGTTAAGTGACCTGTTACCGCTTTAATTCTAGCCACCCACAATTCTCCATTTTATGGTGGATGCGCCGAAATGAAATTTCTTTCTTTACTTATTATATTACGGGCATATTAGATTATTTGGATTACACAACTTGTAGTTGTTAACGTCGTAACCTGCGACATTTTTTTCGAATTTGCATATGAATCGAGTGTATTTTATACGTTTTATACTAGCCCTTTGTTTGAATTGTTTAAATTTTAGAATTGTTTTTAAAAGGTTTGTTATTTCTAGTAGATGTTATATCAATAGTAGTGGTTCGATCAACCACGGTGTGTTTATTTACAATTCCACCGCTGATTGATCTTCTTCAAGGTCAATTAGTTTTATCTCTGATTTCTAGATAGTCCGGATAGATGCAATAAAAGCTTTTATTTCAGATTTTTAACATTAAATCATTAAGGTTTCGTTCAATTGGTTTTACCCCTATGCGGTAAGAAAACTAAAAGTTTTTTAACAACTAAAAGCGATTTTTCAAAACGGCTTGTTGTATTAAAAAGAGGATACTTTAATTAATAATTGGTGATATTTCCACAAGTATTCTTCAAGAAATTAATTTTATAGCGAATTTTGAAAATTATCGATGAAAATTGCAACATCGAAAATTTTATCAAAACTTCAAATATTGTTTTCTCAAAAACTAAAAGTTATTTTTCAAAACGGGTTGGTTCATTGGAAAGAGGACACTTTTATTAACACTTTGGGAAATTTTCATACTCATATTCCAAGAAATGGATTTTATACGAATTTTTAAAACTTAATCGGCGAAAATTGCAAAATTCGAAAAAATTGTCGATTATTTCAAAAATTTATTTCTCAAGAACTAAAAGTGATTTTTCAAAACGGCTTGTTGCATTAAAAAGAGGATACTTTAATTAATAATTGGTGATATTTCCACAAGGATCCTTCAAGAAATTAATTTTATAGCGAATTTTGAAAATTATCGATGAAAATTGCAACATCGAAAATTTTATCAAAACTTCAAATATTGTTTTCTCAAAAACTAAAAGTTATTTTTCAAAACGGGTTGGTTCATTGGAAAGAGGACACTTTTATTAACACTTTGGGAAATTTTCATACTCATATTCCAAGAAATGGATTTTATACGAATTTTTAAAACTTAATCGGCGAAAATTGCAAAATTCGAAAAAATTGTCGATTATTTCAAAAATTTATTTCTCAAGAACTAAAAGTGATTTTTCAAAACGGCTTGTTGCATTAAAAAGAGGATACTTTAATTAATAATTGGTGATATTTCCACAAGGATCCTTCAAGAAATTAATTTTATAGCGAATTTTGAAAATTATCGATGAAAATTGCAACATCGAAAATTTTATCAAAACTTCAAATATTGTTTTCTCAAAAACTAAAAGTTATTTTTCAAAACGGGTTGGTTCATTGGAAAGAGGACACTTTTATTAACACTTTGGGAAATTTTCATACTCATATTCCAAGAAATGGATTTTATACGAATTTTTAAAACTTAATCGGCGAAAATTGCAAAATTCGAAAAAATTGTCGATTATTTCAAAAATTTATTTCTCAAGAACTAAAAGTGATTTTTCAAAACGGCTTTTTGCATTAAAAAGAGGATACTTTAATTAATAATTGGTGATATTTCCACAAGGATCCTTCAAGAAATTAATTTTATAGCGAATTTTGAAAATTATCGATGAAAATTGTAACATCGAAGATTTTATCAAAACTTTAAATATTGTTTTCTCAAAAACTAAAAGTTATTTTTCAAAACGTGTTGATTCATTGGAAAGAGGACACTTTTATTAACACGTTGGAAAATTTTCATAGTCATATTCGAAAAAATGGATTTTATACGAATTTTTAAAACTTAATCTGCGAAAATTGCAAAATTCGATAAAATTATCGATCATTTCAAATATTTATTTTTCAAAAACTAAAAGGGATTTTTCAAAACGACTTGTTGCATTAAAAAGAGAATACTTTAATTAATAATTGGTGATATTTCCACAAGGATCCTTCAAGAAATTAATTTTATAGCGAATTTTGAAAATTATCGATGAAAATTGCAACATCGAAAATTTTATCAAAACTTTCAAATATTGTTTTCTCAAAAACTAAAAGTTATTTTTCAAAACGTGTTGGTTCATTGGAAAGAGGACACTTTTATTAACACTTTGGAAAATTTTCATACTCATATTCCAAGAATGGATTTTATACGAATTTTTAAAACTTAATCTGCGATTGTGGTTGTAAAAAATGTACGAGATAATACACCGACACTGCCTTCCAGTAAAGAGGCGACTTAACCAGTAAATCCATTCGGTGTGTTCGTTCAAAAATTAAAGCAAGTTTACCAACGCTTGGTACACCACCAATTTTCGTAATTATCTATAATAACTTACCTTCTCTTAACTAATTATTTATAATAAGCTTCTAACCAGCATTAAAGCACTTGAACCACGATATTATAATATTAACAAATTTCATACAATTTCATCTTGCTCCACTTAATTTATTATTAAATTTGTATTAAAAAAAAATGGTTGTTTAAATTTGAAACTTTCCGACGTTTATTGTATTTTACAAGATTTCGTGGTCTTTCAGCTTCCGAATCACGTTTCCTTTGACTTTTATTTTCGGTTTAACGTCCGGAAAGTTTCCGCGAAGCTCTCGGGTCGTTTAAAGGTAGTTTTAAATTCACCTTTACCTGCCATAACTAAATTTTTATTGAAATCTTCTCGTTTTCAGACCGTTGGATAGGAACGTAAAAGACGTCGAATTGATCGTCGGAAGATTGAAACGTATCGACCACTTTAACAGACTGCCAAATTCCGTGTTAAATCAAATCGCTTTGTGCGCTTATTACGAAGATATCGAGAAAGGTGTAACACGTAAGTAACATTAAAGTAGTTTTTGAACTAAATTAATTTGATTTTTTTTGTTATTTTTGATTTCGGTGTACATACAATGTGTGAGTTATAAAAAAGTTTAGTTTTTGAACCGTTTCGGGGGAGCGTTGGATAACAGTTTTTATAGGTGCACCGAAATCGACCGTTAGAGTCTGGTTTAGAGGGTGGTTCGTTCTCGGACATTTACTCCACACCTCCACCCAGAAAGTAATTTTCTTTCGTCGTCGTCGTTGGATCTTGACGAGTTTCCTTTTCTATTTTCCCCGCTTTCATAGTTGGAGCTAACCTCATGGGATGCCAAGAGACACGTTTCGTTTTTATTACAAGCTTTACTAACAGAAAAAAGGAACACTAAGCTTCCTTGTTTCAAATTACTTAATTCGATTTGACTTTTTATTTTTTCCTTTTTTAATGAAATTGAACAAATTTGCACATAACTTTCTGATATGTTTTTCGGGTGAAGTTCACCAAAACTTAGCGGTGGGTAATGCATTAATTTGTAGGCAATTTACGTTCCCTACGTTCTCAATTAGAATTTTAATTAATCCGCCGTACCTTCGAGTTTAGAGTTAGCTGGATTCTCCTTCTTGCTTGTACGTGCCACTTCCAACCTACAAATCCTTGTAATCTTAAGAAACTTGAAAATATTTTATGTACCCAACAAAAAACGTTTCTAAACTAAATTCCACTAAATTTCTTTAAAATCAAATTGAAAAAGTAGAATGTTAATATAACCATTTTATGCAACTCATTATGCAACTCCACAACTTGTTTATTCTTGTTTATTTTTCCTCTTTGTTAGAATGAATATTTTTTTGTCCCTTTCTTTGTTAGTCGAAAGTTAGATAGAGTGGCACTGTTGGAACCAGAATCGATTCCTAATTTTACTTGCAAATTGGCGCGTGTTGGGTTTGCGGCCGTTCGTTCTGTATGGCACGTGTGCACGGGTTTCTCTACCCCGGATGCAAATTGTTTAAGTGTAATACTACGAAACGAGGAGGACGTAAAATAAAGAAAAACATTTTTTTGAATTAATTTATTTTCCTTTCTTTGTAGTTTTTCGTCAAGGGGATAGCGGAAAATGTTGGTATGCTGTTATGACCGGCACCTTGGATGTCCAAATACAACCAATAGAAGCAGATACTAAGGTAAAAAATAATCAATTATATTAACACACTTACTCACGTTCAGCAAAAGACTTCTATCTTGTTGGAAACATAACAATCAGCGCACATAACCGTTGTAACCTTTCTTTGATGTTTTCGTCATACCACAAAAATGACAACGCCTTTGAGTCCATGATTGTTGAGCAGCAGTTGGTGAAAGAGGACTTGAAAAATGCCTTTTGAGTAAATCTTAATGGATTGTCCACAGTTACCGCTATTCCACGAGATAAACGATGCTCTTTCAATCACCTGTTGTAGAACTTCCAGTTGAAACTTGGAAAGAGGGCTTTTCTCTCATTCTGGCTTGTAAAATGTAGAAATTGATTAAAAATCGTTAAACATCATTCGTTACCTCAAAACGAATTTTAACAGGATTAATTTAAAAATTCATACAGGGAATTATAAAAACAATATTTGAAAACTTCAAATATTGTTTTCTCAAAAACTAAAAGTTATTTTTCAAAACGTATTGGTTCATTGGAAAGAGGACACTCTTATTAACACTTTGGAATGTTTTCATACTCATATTCCAAGAACTGGATTTTATACGAATTTTTAAAGCTTAATCGGCGAAAATTGCAAAATTCGAAAAAAT